CACAAAGTTTGGAGGTCTTTAGATATTGACTCTGCAGACAATTGGCAACTCCTGCACACTGTGCTCTTCAGCATGCGCTGACCCTGCTTTGTCCTTTTACGTGGTCTACCACTTGGTGGCTGAGTAGCTGCTGTTCCCAGTTGTTTCCACTTTGTTATAATAGCACTAACAGGTAACCATGGAATATTTAGTAGCAAGGAAATTTCACGGGCGGACTTCTTGCACAGGTGGCAACCTATCATGGTACCACGTTTGAATTCACAGAGCTCTTGAGAGCGACCCATTCTTTCACAAATTTTTGTAGAAGCAGTCTGCATGCCTAGGTGCTTGTTTTTATACACCTGTGGCCATGGAGGTGATTGGAACGCCTGAATCCAATTATTTGGAGGGGTGTCTCAATACTTTTGCCAATATAGTGTATCTGTCCCTCTGCCACCTGTAAAAAGAGCACAAAAGTCTGCCATGAGATTCTATAAAATTACAAATCTCTACAACGTAAGGAGCATTGTGGTAATACTACATGCAATGTTTTTTTTAACTTTAGTTACTGTGATAAAACAAAAAGAAGCTAAAAAAGAAAAGGAACATTTTGAATTAAAAATTTCGCCTTAAAGCCCACCTCCATTCCAAAGTTTTCTGTTTTGTTTGGTATGGAGAGGAGATCTCTTTTAGATTTCAATGGCTGTACACATCACTCCCTGCATTGGTGACAAAGAAGACAGGGAGGGATGAAATATCTCTTTGATGGGGGCAAAGAAAGTAAACATCGAATTCACTTAGCAGAGTGGGGAAAGGTCATCTGTCAGGACATCTGTTAGATTTTCATCACTCTCTTTGTCTTCCTGTTCCAGTGACACCAGCACCCTCTCATTTTTGGTGTCACTAAGACAAGAAATACGGAGGAGTATCCCCAGTAAAGACACTGACAGCAATAAAAGAGGTTTTGACTCTTACGCAAGCTACAACATTTTGGCCAGTGCTTGGCTTTAATGTGAATCTGTATTAAAGATCTGTTGTTTAACGTTTGCTTTATTTTAACTCCAAATATTTTGTACACTCTAAGGCTAGCAGGACTGCTCTAAGGCGGTATGCCTCCTGTAGGTTCTTTCAGAGAGCAAACGCCGCTGTGTCAAATGATATAGCAAACCGAGACACAGGATGTGTTAAACATGACATAAGAGTCAAAAACCAGTTTCAGCTCAGTCTTCTCCCATTAGTCCCCTCTGGTGAATTTCACCTGGATCCAGGCGAAATGCATCAGTGGACAGGGCCAATGGAAGAGGGCTGAGCTGAAGCTCATATTGGACTCCTATGCCACAGTTAACATTGCCTGTGTTCAGTTTAGGCTTCCATTTATTTTATATCACACTACTTTGGGGCTCCCCTCTGCAGAATCAGATTTGACACATTGCAGTATAGTGCCAAACAATTGGATGTGGATTGAACACTGAATGCTGGATGTATTATTTTTGTTATGGTAGTTGCAAGGTTTTAGACTCTTGTCCTATTGTTAAGCTTGAATGCAAATTTGCCATTGCTATACCAGACCCATTGAGAATATGTCACAATCTGTGTGAGAAGGCTCTGTGGAAGCAGCCATTCCTCATTTTTTTCCATATGCTGGTTTTAAAAACAGATCACTAAAAGGTTATTTTTGATTGGATTATAAATCCAACAAACTTTTGGCCCTGCTCTAAGTAGTCCTCCTGTAATACTCCGGTGATTCACATCAATGCTGGGTGCTGGCGTTGAGAGAGCCCATCCCATCTTAAACCAAAAGGAACAGCTTGGATGTGTTTCGCCCCACCAACAGACCTAAGTCATAGGGGTACCCTATAGCTAATTCCTGTGGATGGAGCAAAACGTGTCAGGGAATGGTCTGGGAGGAAATGAGCTGAAGCTGCTTTCACTTTCTTTACATCCAGGCTGTTCATTTTGGAGTGCGGCATTCTATTCTATCTCCCATCTTTCTGATTGGATTAAGCAATAAAGTGATGCAAGAACAAAATTAGTCAATGCAAAGATTAGTTACCCATAGCAACCAACTAGATTGTAGTCAGCTCTGTGAAAGATGAATTGTATGAGGGTGATGTGTGTTACTGTACTATGTAGCTTGTTCTTTGCTTTATTCAAATACCCGCTTAATCCAACAGCTGTACTCATTTCTCATTAGTTGCCAAGCATGACTTTTTCTTAACCAACAGCTGACAAACCATGAAAAACCCATACCTTATCTCAGAGATATGATAACAATACATAATAGAGTCATTGTTGAGACTAATCTATAGTTTGCTTTTTTTTGTAATTTGTATTATTATAAAGGTTAGATGTGTGATTAAGATTATACTTTTGCATGTGTGTCTTGTCAAGAAAACCAAAAGAACAGTAACAACTCAACAGCATCAAGTCAATTAGACGAATTATATAAAGCTCCATTGTAAGATGTTTTTATAAAAAATGGGAGTTACAGCATTTATATCCAGTGTTGCTTGTTGAAAGTCATGTAAAGTTAGGTGTAATGCTTGGTCACACACTTACAAAGACTTAAGACCATGACCTTCAAAATCATGCACCAGTGGTTTCTGCAATTAAACATTTTATCCATTGATCATGATGATATGGTATAATACCAGAGTTGTACAATTCAATCTGAAAAGAAAAATTAACAGCGGCACTTTTTTTTCTTAATAGCTGTAATATTGTCATGTGATTTATGAGTTCCGCCACCTTGCTATGTGAATCCTTGAGACATTTTAGCAGCGATATTGCATTTTTCCACACAAAATACATTCAAGTGCTTATGATTTAGAGATTAAATCTGACTTTAAAGCAAGGATTGACCTTTGCTGTCAAAATCACAGATAAAAAGCTTTTCTATATTAGAATAGAACAGTTGGGGCTGACAGAAAATGTGTTTTACTTGCAGGATGAGGCTGTCCTACTAGTGGTCTTGAAAGGGTTTTCTTTGGCCATAGATATACCTGAGAAGACCCTCCACTTGATCAAATGACCTTTTTTTTTGCTGTAACTGTGTAGCATGTGGGTTTCCCTCCCATTTACCAGATGACATTTTTTATAAGCTGTAACTCTGCAGCATGTGGGTTTACATCATATTTGATTCTACAACACAACATAGAAAAGCAATGCAAAACAATATACATACAACAGGACCATTTTATTTATGGTTTTCCGAATATTACACAACCACCAAAACTATCACTTTGCAATATACTGTAAATGTATTTAGGATATATAAGATAAATTATGCAGCAGAGACCTTTTTGTTATCATCTGCAGCCTTGAGATCAGCCTTCCCCATCTTCACCTCTCAGCTTGCAATGTCATAAATCTGTAAAGGTCAGCCATTAATAGACAGTACTTAATTAGATCCAACATGCTCCCCTCTTCCATTGGCAAGGAACAAATCAGAAATACCACTTTAAAGGGAAGATTTCCAATTGTTTGCAGTAGTTTACAGCACCTTCCATCTTTCCTGATGCATACATGTCATTATGAAAAATGGCAGTTCGGGTATGTCAGCTCAAAGTGTAGGAATTAAAAAGACAAGAGTGGTAGAAAATGAAACATGCCTGATCAATAAAATTTGTTGTAGATTTCAAACTCAATAGACCACTTTATTCTGAAATGAAAAATACACTATAATCTTTATGTACAGGACTAAAAATGCGATGAAACAATGGATGCAAAGTTTCAACACTTGTGCAGAAATTATGATATTAAATATGTTTTAAACTTTGCTGCACTTCCACCTGATCTGCTTTACCAGTTGTAGTTAGCTACATGACAGTTGGTAGTATTCTTCAATGTGATTACTGGGAAGGAGGTCATGATTATACTATGAAGCATCACCACAAGCCTCTGTGAAAATGTCCTTTTTGATGAAACGCGTAGGATGGAGTAAACGCGGTAACGAAATCACGCCCGATTGGGTGTTCAGTAGATGCCTTGTGTTTTTATGGCCTAGATGTGAGTATGTGCCTAGTTTAAAACAATTGTGTTAATAAATGGTGATTCTCCTTCTGTGAAAGTTTGTTATTGGGACTGATGGCCTGAGTGGAACTGGACTGGAGCGGAGACTGCGTATGAACGCTGCTTTTAGAGGTCCATCATCCTTCATCCATCCATCCATTGGGGTTTTCTCCCATAAAGCACTGTTCCTGAGGTCTAACTTTCTAGTAAGCAGCAGTATAGATTATGTGTGGTTGGTGCACAAAGTCAGTGGATTGGAGAAAGACATATACACAGTTCCTTTTTTATTATGGTCGACATTTTTTCTTTCTGGGGGTGAATTTTGCTTTGTTGCACTAAGAAATTGATTTAAGAACTTTATAATCACCCTTTATTTGGTGGACTCATTTTATATTTTTATTTGCTGCACTTGTGATTTTGTACTTATATTTATTTATATTTTTGGATTTATTTATCGATTTTAACTTACACATATAAAAATTGATTTATTTATAGATACATGAATTTTCACATATGAATTGAATAATTTAAGGGACAATGCTACAAATTGTAATAAGTAAGTACTGTGAAGTATTACTGTCGGTTATGCCACCTAAAGCTCCATCTGTGTTGAAAACCATGTGACAAAAAAGCCTACAGTTATCACAGAGTGGTTTGAATGTCATGGTAAGGTGTCTTAGAAAGATGTCTATCACTGCACTCTAAAGTACACCCAAACGATACATGCAAGACTGTGGACATTTCTGTCTCTGTAAGTTTGTTGTATGCCCTATTGTTGGCTAAAGTGGACCTAAACTGAAGACCTGCTATCATATAGGGAACATCTAGAAATATTAAAGTATATGTAAACCCTCACCTTGTTAAACAACCCATCCAGTTTAAAATAGAAATGAATGGCAAAATGTTTGTGTGTGTGTGTATATACACTGTAGTGCTAAAAGTATTGGGACACCTTTCCAAATCATTGGATTCAGGTGTTCCAATCATCTCCATGGCCACATGTGTATAAAATCAAGCACCTAGGCATGCAGAATGCTTCTACAAACATTTGTGAAATAATGGGTCACTCTCAGGAGCTCAGTGAATTCAAGCGTGGTAACATGGTAGGTTGCCACCTGTGCAATAAGTCCATCCATAAAAGCCGTGAAATTTCCTTGCTACTTAATATTCTGCGGTGGTATTATAACAAAGTGGAAGCAACTGGGAACAGCAGCAACTCAGCCACGAAGTGGTAGGCCACGTAAAATGACAGAGCAGGGTCAGCAGATACTGAAGTGCACAGTACGCAGAAGTTGCCAACTGTCTGCAGAGTCAATTGCTAAAGATCTCCAAACTTTGTGTGGCCTTCAGCTTAGCGCAACAACAGTGCATGGAGAGCTTCATGGAATGGGTTTCCATGACCGAGCAGCTGCATCCAAACTTTACATCACCGAGTGCAAAACAAAGCGTTGGATGCAGTGGTGTAAAGCACACCACCTCTCTTGACTCTAAAGCAGTGGAGACAGTTCTCTGGAGTGACAAATCACACTTCTTTGTCTGGCAATCCAATGGACATGTCTGGGTTTGGCAGTTGCCAGGAGAAAGGTATTTTCCTGACTGCACTGTGCCAAGTGTAAAGTTTGGTGAAGGGGGGATTATAGTGTGGGGATGTTTTTCAAGGGTTGGGCTTGGCCCCTTAGTTCCAGTGAAGGGAACTCTTAAGGTGTCAGCATACCAAGACATTTTGGACGATTTCATGTTCCCAACTTTGCGGGAACAGTTTGAGGATGGCCCTTCCTGTTCCAACATGACTGCGCTCCAGTGCACAAAGCGAGGTCCATAAAGTCATGAATGCACGAGTTTGGGTTGGAGGAACTTGACTGGTCTGCACAGAGTCCTGACCTCAACCTAATAGAACCTTTGGGATGAATTAGAGCAGAGACTGCGAGACAGACATCAGTGCCTGATCTCGCAAATGCGCTTCTGGAAGAATGGTCAAACATTCCCATAGGCACATTCCTAAACCTTGTGGAGAGCCTTCCCAGAAGAGTTGAAGCTGTTATAGGGCCAACTCAATACTGCTCAGTGCAGATGGGGGGGGGGGGGGGGGGGGGGCATGTCAGCAAAAGTCTGCTAATTGGATTAGCTCTCAGCAGAGATTGAAAAATTACCATGCTGTGCCCTTGTGCCTAGTGTGGTCAGTTTTAATAGGAAAGCAGGGGGACTGGCAGGAACTCCAGGAATTTCACACATAGAAAGCAATACAAAGAGAACATGATATTTTTTCATACAAGTACATGCTACTTCAGGCACAGACTGGGAAATATTAAATGTTTGGTTTACATATTCTTTAATTGTGCCTAAGCAGTACCCGGAAAGATTTAGCTTTTGCCTCCAATTCCTTCTGAAAAATAGCAGTGCACTTCCTGTGCCTAAAATCCAGTAGCTGTATACCTGTAATGTGGCCTCTGACTGCTAGTCTCACAAGATTTGCAGTGAGATTTAGTAAAATGTCATATTTGTGCTACTTACTGTTCTCTTTGCTGGAGAGAAAGCTACAGTGGATGGATCTTCCTTACTCATTCCTCACTTTTTTTGTCTGTGCATCCTCCAATGCTCCATAGTGGGAAGCTGTAATGCAAGAAGATAAAGTCCAGCTTTTCTGCCAGGATAACCACCTCCACACATAGTCACAGTGCAGAAGGCATGGTATGCTAGTAATGGGAATAAAAAGATCAGCTGCAGGGAGAAAACAGTATTGATGACTAGTCTTTTGTTGTATACTTGTGTTTTTGAGAACAGCATTCCAGTACACCTCCTCTATTTTTTTTTTTTTTCTAAAGAAGTATTTGAGTTTTTGATCAATACAATAATCAAAGAAAACAAGAATCAAAAGAAAGGAAACATAATACTGGCGATTGTACATTGGTAACAGTACAGAATGTGGAATTGGTTGCAACATTCATAACATAGCTCATTGTACCTTGAAGCAAAGCTTATGGTGTATGTGTTTGGTGGTCATGAGCAGAATTTAGGGTATACTTGGCCTGAGGACTGGCGTCCTGGGCCTGGGTGAAGCACCTTGTTGCTGGCATAGGTGTCTGTACTGCATCAGCTCTTTGGAAATATAGTGGTGTGTAAATTTTAGAACATCAAAATAATGAAGAAGAAAAGGATAGAAGCGGTCAGAAAAGGGGAGAAAATAGAGAAATGGGGGGAGGGGGGGTGACGTTTGGGAAGGACATGTAGGGGGTTAAGAAGACTAACAGAACCTATGGGTACCAATGTGTTTTCTTTTGAAAACGTTAAGAGAAGGTGGTGGACATCCAAGAGGGTGGCAATTTCCTGTTGTATGGGTAAACTTGAATGAACTTGGATAAATGTGGATAAACTTGAATATCTGGGAATGACACATCATAGTAACAGCCAAGAATTATCTAAGCAAGGGGAATCAAGAAACAACATATTATAAATGCAGTAGTATAGTAGTCATCAGGGGCGGACTGACAACTTATGGGGCCCCCAGGCAATAGGGGATCATGGGGCCCCTGTGTCCTCGCCCCCACTCAAACCACACCCAAAAAAGCCTAGGAAAGGTACCAGGGGCATCTCATGGGCCCCCTACTGACCCCGGGCCCTCAGGCAGTGCCCGAGTTTACAAATGGTCAGTCCGCCCCTGGTAGTCATGTCATATCTTACAATTGGGAGCTGTGGTTAGTGTGGATATTTGTATTTGTAGGATACACCTACTCTTTAATGTTATTTTTCTCCTACAGTATTGACATATTTGGTCTTGAATGTTTTTTAGTATGTCCTTTAAACATAAACTGTTCATTGAAAATGATTTAATGTATGCATTGTTCCCCCTTAATGTATGTCCCTCAGCTGTACCCTAACAGTTGTTAAATGAAAGTTTCATTCTCTCTGGAAATGTCACCAAGCTGCAAAGGTGTGCCAGGTGACGACTGTAAACACACTGACAGTGACAGAAAAGTGAAAAGCATGATGATACAGAACGTAATTTAAGATAAAGTGCACTGGAGTCAAGGATAAAATATTGGAAGTGGCCAGAAACAGACAAAGGATTAACCAGAGTAAAGTCAGACAAGAGGTCGCTGAGCCGCATCGGATAATCTGACGAGGAGCAAGTGCCAGATCAGCCATAGGTTAAAGCCTGATAGCGGTAATAGAATCGTACAACAAACAGAGGCCTTGGCTCCAAATCGGTTATCAAGCCAAAAAAAACGAAACTAAACTCATAGTTGAAAGGTCTGTTCCTGTAATAAGCTATACAATTTTGCCTTCAGGCCAGAAAATATACCCCACAAGCCTTCTAACTGTAGCATAGTTTTTTTTTTCATTTATAATAAATTTGAAGGCAGTGTTTCCAAAACCTTTTATGAGTCCTATGAATGGTTCATGTTTTCTAGTAACCTTAAAGCCTAAATTATGCCACAATAAAAAACACAAACATCAACACAAGGGACATACCTTACAGTCAGTAGGATGTGTCTCTCTTGTGCTGATGCCTCTTCTGTTAGGTGAAGTCCTCCTCCTTCATTCATGCCCCCCACCACCATAATTTTATGGTGCTGCAGCTTCCATTAATGAATCAAGATCTAAGAATGGAAGATGAGTGGAAGATACAAGTTCTGCCCCTTCCATTCATAGATGATATTTAATTCCTAGAAGCTGTGGTATCGTTTCTGTAAATGGAGCAGCTGGTTGTAAAAGGAGGACATAATCTGGCACACTTGATGAGAACCTGTGACAGCTACCACAGTTCTATTTACCCTTGCACACTGTAAGATTTTGATGGCGAGGGTGGGAGGGGCATGGACAGAGGAAGATTTCAATTAACAGAAGAGACATCAAGATAATGTACACATCCTGCTGACTGTAAGTTATGCCCCTTGTGCTGATTTTTTTTTTTTTGGCTACACTAAGGCTTTAAGGAAAGGTTTAGGAAATATAATCATTGACCCACATAGCGCTATAGAGTCAATAAAACCAGAAAACACATTTTTAAGTACCATTGATGTCCTGTTAGCACAAAACTTCTGAATCAAATTTTCGTTAAACTCTGCGGCTAGGTTCACATCTCCGCGTTCCTGTGGACCACGTTTTGCACGGGCACAAGAGCCCATTCATTTGATTGGACTACCATGCCCCGGGACACGCAGGGAAGAAGTCCCTGCACTACTGTGGAAAACGCAGCCCGCTCGGGAACCTCGGTTCCCAGTACGGTTGCACTTTCCAGTGCGGGCGGCGTGCTGTTAGAATTAATGGCACCTGCCCATGGGTCCACATTCCTTTGTGCGGGTGGTTCGGCTGCACAGATTTCTGTGAGGATCCACAGTGGCATCTCCCGCACAGATGTGAACCAGGGGTGAGGGGTTGTTTACATTAGCAGCAGCCCTTGTCCACTGCAGGTCGCTTTACAGAGGGCAGTTAAGAGGTGGCTGAAAGGCAATGTGCTGCCTCCTCACCTCCTGGTTTAATCCTGAAAAGCCACAAAGGCATGCATTTCATTTGAATTGGTTGCGCTTGATGACGGTACTGCCCACCGAGTATGACAGGAGGTTTAATTTTTGAACCAGCAAACACAAATGCTCCTGTGCTTGGGGATGGACTCGATGCAGGCTACAACCACATTAAGAATGTCCTGGAACATGCACACCTTGCTGCCCTCAGAAAGACCAGGGGAATCCAAATATACTGAATGAGGAAAGAAAAGAGGGCGCACAGGCCTAGTGCATTACCATAAAAAATGTTTAATAAGAAATAAAGTCGGTGTTGTACTCACAAACAACAATAAAGTCAAGGCACTGGGCTCTGAGGAAGAGGCAAGTCAACGAAACGCGTCAGCCTATTGGATGTCTACACTCCTATTGCGGACTGTTACTCAGCGCGGTGTTGACCCAGCTGTTCTTTACTTTATTGTTGTTTTAAACCTCATTCGGTTTAATTTTTGAGCAGCCGCAAAGCATTTTAGCTAAGGCATGTGTACAACCCCTTCACCACTATATTATGTTAAGTGGGACAGTAAAACTGTGGCTCAACCACCTATTTTTACCATCCTTGGCTGCAAGACCTTTGACAAAATATACAAGAACCTCTTCTGTTTAGTTTGAAAGCATCACTACTTTCCTTGCAGATTCCTGATAAAAGTAGATCTAAAGCCTAAATGTTTTTAGTGCATTCTCTGCATTAAGGTAAAAAACAGGTTTCAGCCTTCTGTCCTTCCCAACCTTTCTAAATACTTATCGATCCTCAATCAATCCAGCACTGTGTACTGCTGCATCTCTTCTCTTTCCTCTCTTCCTCTTCACTCAGGACTCAGGCAGCAGTGGGAGCCATCGGCTCCTGCTCTTGTCAATCAAATGCTGTGAGGAGGAAGTGGGGGTGGGACCAAGCTGCAGTGTGTGGCCCGCACAGCAATTAGCTTGCTATGGGAGCCCGCAGAGAAAAGGAGGAGCCAAGATTGATGGCAGGGGACCCCAGAAGAGGAGGTTCAGGGCCACTCTGTGCAATACCATTGCACAGAGAATGTGAGTGTAACATGTTTATTAATTTAATTAATTTTAAAGTAGAAAAAAAATTGCCTTTAGTAACACTTTAATGGACTGCAGAGTCCAGTTA